GTTCTATTTAGTATTGTTATTGTACCGAGGGCAAATTTAAATTCCTATTGATGTTTATGTAACTGTTATCTTTAGTCTCACAAATTCTTCTTCTTCATTTGTATTGAATATCCAAATCCATTCGGTCTTCAATAATAATAAAAGGAGAAAAAGAAATAAGGGAGAAATGTTATGAGAGAAAAGATTATTGCTTTATTTACCCGTCCGTTCTATTATTTATCCATATTAATTATTCAATATCCGTTTACTACACATATTCTATCTATAATTGAATAAGGTATGTAATTAATACATTGTTTATTAAAATTAAGAATAAAGGTGTTCCTTTGATGCTGCAAATGGGAAATTATTTCCGTTTTCTCTACATAAAGGCTTAAACGTAGAATTAAGTAGACTTAACATCGAGTATCCGAGTCGAAATTTTAATCTTATTTTGAGTCTAATTTAGTTTTATATTAAATCGTTAAAGGGCTTCTATTGCGCTCTTTTGATATTACGAACGGGGAAGTTATTGCCGTTTTCTCTTATTTGAAGACGTAACGTAGAATTTAAAATTTCGATTTGGGTACCCGAGTTTCCGCGTGTGGAAAAGAGAGCCCCGATACACATAAACTCGAGTACCCGAGTCGAAATTTTAAATTTTACATTACGTCTTCAAGATTCCCAAGGAAAGAAAACGGAAATACATTTCTATTTGTAATAATAAGTATTCCTTTAATGCTACAAATGCGAGTTGATACAGAGACCTGTAGAGTCTAAATTTCAGTTCCACATTAAGTCTTCAAGTAGAGAAAACGTCGATAACTTCCCCATTTGCAGCATCAAAGGAACACAACAGAAGACTTTTATGTAGACTTAATGTGGAACTAAATTAGACTTAAAATAGGATTAAAATTTCGATTCGGCTACAATGTCTATATTAAAAAAAAAAAAATTAAAAAAAAATACCTACATGTTATTTAAATTTAATTATATCTCGAAATTCTCCATTGATCCTTTTCAAGTCCGATGGAATTTGTAGGAGGATTTATGGTAGTAGCAAAATTTCAACCCGGGTCTCGTGAAGATTGTCAAAACAGGACGCGCGCGGACAATAGAGAGACCCATCGGTTCATGAATGAGAAGAAAAAAGCCGATTCTGAGGAACAACGCTCGGCTGTATGACATACAGTAAAAATAATATTTAAAGTTGCTACCGCGGGAAAAGCGGGCGGGCGGACGAGAGCGGCGGTCGGTCGGCCGCCGATGGAAATCGATAGTTGTGATTGCCTCGAATCGTCGAGCGCGGGTAAATACGTAACCGGACGAATACAGAGAAAAATTAAAACGTAATATTTAACCGGCAATCGTGGAAATAAATTTTCAAACTCTGGCGGGGATTCTCCTGGAAATTTCAAGTTTCCGCGTGTGGAAGAGAGAGATAGAGAGAGAGAGAGAGGTCCGACACACTCGTAAAATCCCGCGGACGCGCGCGTGTACACACAAACAACGCGCCACTGTGACGAGCGTGCGCGCGGGTGTTTTTTTTTTCCAGATATATCGGATACACATATTTTCATCGAAATCATTCAATCAATGTTAACCATGTGACTTTATACGCGCACGCGAATGTTTACCGGGCTCACGCATCGTTTATCGATCCCACCGCGGGATTGTTTTCCAACTTGGATATTTTTAATTCAGGTATCGAGCGTGAACTGCGTTTAAATTCGCGCATCGATATCCCAATCTACGCGCCGGGGGAAATGATATTTCTCCGCGTAATTACTCGAAAACTTAATCGACGACGCGGATCGGATTTTCACGTGCGCGAAAAGAAGGGAAGAGACGGGCGGAAAAATAGGGGGGAGAGAGAGAAACAAAGCGAAACAGGAGGAAAGAGAGAGAAAGAGAGAGAGGCGCACGTCGACGCGTTTTCGCCTCGGGATTAAATGCCGGTTTCCTTCGCGCGCACTTGCGACACGCATTTTAACTCCGCGAGGTTGAAGAGGTGAAAAGGGGGGGGGGGAGCCGAAGGAGGAGCGAAACGATTTTCGGAACGGTATAACGGTAACGCTGTTCAATCTCCGTGACGTCGGGACGGAGGCGCGGGGCCACCGCTAAAAAATGGCCCCGTAATAATTTTAGAGCCGGTGTAATTTGTTTCGGGTTGCCTTATCGCGGCGGTGCGGGCAACGGCAGGGGCGTGCTCGTTGTCCCAGTCAGGAGCTCGGGGGCCGGCTCGCTCGCCCGTTCGAAA